AGTTGTTAATGCCTTTAGATTTAGGAGTACCCCAACAATGACTGAAGCCACAAAAATTAGAGGGTCCATTAAATTGCATAACATATTTTTTGGCTGATAAATTTTCGGTAGCCAAAAATTCAATCCATCTTTAATATCAACACACATTTAGATTCCTATCGATGCACATTTCTGCTAAGTGATTGGCTCTTGTATCAAAATAGAGTAAAAAATTCCATTGTTATTGACATATATTTTGTCGCGATTCGATATGATATCATTTATCGGCCCAGCCCTATAGTTATGGGTATGTTTTGAGCATAACTTGCATTAACCAATCAGAGGCTCATCTCCCATTTCCTTTAAGATTTAGTTGCGCATTTGTTATTTACAAGGCAGACTGTGTAAGTGGAAAAACTGAAAGCTTCATTAGCAAGAAAACAGTTAAACAGAGGATAAAGACGATAAAGAACTAGCCTCATCCATTCGCCCTCTTTACTTTACTATTACTCTTTACTCCTTTACTTTCGTGAATAACGAAACAGTGGAAACTCAGTCCTCCACTAAAGACATCTATTAGTCTACATGTTCAATTTCGTTTGTTAAGCTCAAAGATTTGTTTCAAACTATTTCTAAATTCAGTTCTAATTTCCAGCAAATGAATAAATGAACAATAATATTGAGTAGTTATATCGAATAGTTAAAATAGTTATATCTAAACACATTTCCTATTACAATATAGTGATACATGTGTCTCCAAAATCCAACAGGTGGACAAATCTAAACTTGTTTTTATTAAAACAAATATAAATATGCATATAATAAATAATACTGCTAATAATAATAACATTATATAAAGGCTAACTGTCATGAATAAACTGAAAAAAGCTATGCGCTACGCCTTAACACAACTCCTAGACCAGTCCACAAAGCAGCGTAAATGTAATTGCTATTTAAACAACGTGGCGCAAATGAAAATAGCAACAAATCATGCCGAACACATCTTTTGCCTTATTGCGCCAGGTGTATGATAGGGCCCTAAATGTCATATTCAGATTAATAAAGGCCAAAATGTGACAATAATCAATCATTTTTAGCAGCATTAATCAGCAAAATGAACATTTTATTTGGTTCAGTGGGATTGATTATGTTCTGCTCTGCAATATGGTGGCTGACGATGTGTCGTGAAAACATTTCATACTGTTATACTGAGGTTTTATTTGTAAAATTGCATTTTTTCCCAGCTAGGTAAACTTCAAACATTACTAAGCAAGAAGTGATCTTGAAATATTGAAAACTGTAGATTTTGTCATTTGTATCTACGCAGTATATAAATGTGAAAATAAATTTTACAATTTCTCAATATTGACGGCTAATGAAAGCCTGCTGCGTGCCTCGCCGAGGTGTCGTTAATCACACCCGGCAAAGTGAGAAAAAGAGGCAACTGCTCCAACAGAAAATGGATGAGTTCTGTTTCAGACGCCACTCAGTGCCAGCATATCCTGAAAATTGTTTTTAGAATGCCAACATGACATATTGTTATTCTCAACAGACTAAAACAAATGAAGGAGATTAAGAAAGCTACAGAGCAACATTAGGGAGAAGAATACTTGTTGATGGTTGAGAAGCATCGTGTTGCATTCAGGTCTAGGACAACTTCACAGGTGTCGCATTAGACATATCATTCACATGAAAAATACTATAGTAAATATTGCAGTGTTTTTAATCGTATTAAAGTAAAGTACTTGAATTAATCTGTTACTATGGCAAAACAACAAATGTAGTAAAATACTACTTGTAATACTTATACAGAGTGGCCTCACAGCAATAAGGTTGCTGGTTCGAGCCTCGGCTGGGTCAGTTGGCATTTCTGTGTGAAGTTTGCATGTTCTCCCAGTGTTTGCGTGGATATACAGGGTGCTCCGGTTTCTCCCACAGTCCAAAGACATACGCTAGGTGAATTGGGTAAGCTAAATTGTCAATAGTGTGTGTGTGCGTGAATGAGAGTGAGAGAATGAGAGTGTTTCCCAGTGATGGGTTGCAGCTGGAAAGGTCATCCACTGCATAAAACATATGCTGATATAAGTTGGTGGTTCATTTCACTGTGACGACCCCTGATTAATAAAGGGACTAACCTGAAAAAGAAAATGAATGAATGAATGAATATTACTTCTACAACTGTAGGGTATACTTTAATACACCACAGCTTACAACTGTAATAACTAAAGTATACTACAGTATTTATTACAGCTAATCAGTTCACTAGTTAATTCTACAGTATTCTTGAGCATTCGTTATCAAAGAGTTGTAAATGCTATAATACATACAGCATGATACACTTTAAATTTGTATGGTTCAAAACACTATTTACAGAACTTACAATAATTTAGGTTACTATAACAATTGATGTTATTTTATCCTCCTTACACTGGCTGCCTGTTAAGTTTCGTATTGAATTTAAAATATTACTTCTCACCGATAAAGCTCTAAATAATCTAGCTCCTGTTTATCTAACCAACCTTCTGTCTCGCTACAAACCAACTCGCTCTTTAAGATCTCAAAATTCAGGGCTTCTGGTAGTACCTAGAATAGCAAAATCAAGTAAAGGAGGTCGAGCCTTCTCTTTCATGGCTCCTACACTCTGGAATAGCCTTCCTGATAATGTCCGAAGCTCAGACACACTCTCCCAGTTCAAAACTAGATTAAAGACCTATCTGTTTAGTAAAGCATACACTCAATGCATCACCTAGCGGGTTCCACACAGGCTTCTGCATCTTGCTTATATACACTATGAACAGCAGCTACGCTAATTATTCTCTTTATTCTCTATTTTCACCTGGGGATACTCATCCCGAGGTCCTCAGATTATGCGGAGTCACTGATTGGATCCAAGACCAGCGACGTGATGATCCCAAGGATTCCATATCCGGGACCAGGCCATATCCTGAGCTGCTGCTGCGCTGATGGTCGTGGGGAGTGGAGAACATTAGTCTGATTCCAGCGACGTCCCAGGGACAGACGAGTCTTCGCTGAGGCCATCTTCCAGCCTTAACCACGGCGAATGAAGCTCTGCACAAGACTTTTGGCCAGCGGAGAAATTAAAATGGTCGTGCCCAACTGAGTCTGGTTCCCTCAAGGTTTTTTTTTCTTCACTCCCATCAGGTGAAGTTTTTTTTCCCTCTCCGCTGTCGCCACTGCCTCGCATGGTTCAGGATTGGTAGAGCTATGCATCGATAAATTGGCTCTTCAGTGTTTGAACTCTCAGTAATGATTAAATCACACTGAACTGAGCTAAACTGAACTGAACTGAACTTAAACACTAAAACCTTAACCACACTGTTCCAGTTACTATGACCATTTATGTGAAGCTGCTTTGACACAATCTACATTGTAAAAGCGCTATACAAATAAAGCTGAATTGATGTAGTAATTACCTGAATAATTCTACTCTTACAGCAAAACATTCATTCATTCATTTTCTTTTCGGCTTAGTCCCTTTATTAATTCGGGGTCGCCACAGTGGAATTAACCACCAACTTATACAGCACACTTTCTATGCAGCGGATGCCCTTCCAGCTGCAACCCATCTCTGGTAAACATCCACACACACTCATACTCTACGGACAATTTAGCCTAACCAATTTACATGCATGTCTTTGGACTGTGGGGGAAACTGGAGCACCTTTAGGAAACCCACGCGAACACAGGTAGAACATGCAAACTCCACACAGAAACGCAAACTGACCCAACCGAGGCTTGGACCAGCGACCTTCTTGCTGTGAGGCGATAGCGCTACCTACTGCGTCACTGTGTCTCCCCGACAAAACAACTAAAGTAATGTAAACAGTAATATAAACAAATGACCTAATAATGTTGTTAATACTTGTAATACTTTTACAACTGTAGGGTATATTATACTTTAATACACCACAGTTTACAACTGTAATAACTAAAGTATACTACAGTATTTATTAAAGCTAATCAGTTCACTATTGTTAATACTACAGTATGCCGGAACATTCATTAACAAAGAGCTGTACTACATTGATTTATATAGTAAATTATTTGAATGAATCTGTTACTATGGCAAAATAACAGCTATAGAAATATAAACAAATGAACTAAAACTGTAGTTAATACTTCTACAACTGTAGGGTATATTTGATACACACAACAGTTCACTAAAGTGTACTACATTATTTATTATAGCTAATCAGTTCATAGTAAATACTATAGTGAATACTACAATATATTGGAACATTCATTAACAAAGAGTTGTAAATTCTATAATACACTTTACTATAGCACAGTTCAAAGCACTTTTTGCATAATTTAATATGCATTACTATAGTATTTTTTCATGCTTTCATTTTTTTCATGTGGGCACATTAGGTTCAAGACTGCAACCTAAAACAGATCATTGTCACAAAACAAAAATAAAAAATAAATGAATAAACACACCCGGCAGGCATTTTTATTTTTAAATGAAGTCTAATAGATGTCTGTTAGACATCTAAACATAGACAACTTGGCTAAAACAAGGCTGAATTTGGTCTGTCATCTAATAGACATCTAAGACTAAATGCCCAAAAATAGATTAGTCATCAAATGGCCTCCACAGTCACCAGATCTCAATCCAATAGAGCATCTTTGGGATGTGGTGGAACAAAATCTGCTGCAACTGGGTGATGCTATCATGTCAATATGGAACCAAAATCTCTAAAAAAAAATATGTCAAGTGTCTTGTTGAATATATGCCACGAAGGATTAACGCAGTTCTTAAAGGATAATGGGGTCCAACCTGTTACTCTTAAGATGTATCTAATAAAGTGGCCGGTGAGTGTATATTATAAAAGCTGATTGAATATAATAAATAAGTATTTTATACTACAGGATATAAACAATAGCAAAATAACACCGATACCAAATGCAATATCGCAGAAGCCAGTTGCATGTGAGATTAATCAAACAAAGCTCTGGGCACTTTTCTGGGCACCAAAATTATCTGATCCAATACTCACGTTCCCAAGACCTCCTTGAAATCATAATTCTCCTTGATATCAGTTGTCTTCTTTTTCCATCCATTTTCATCTTCTCCTAAAGGCATTTTATAGTTGATTTGCCACTCAGAAACTACACAAACACAAAAGAAGAGGCCAGTAAAAAAGTCAGCGTGATGGAAAATTAGCAAAACAAATTATTAATTCTTTCTTACAGCAATAAAAACAGTGTGGCATTGTTCAGGTGTTCATTACCACATCACACCGCCACTGAAACCTAGATGTGTGAATGCCGTCATCACATGGTACCTGTTACTTTTCTCCATGCAGGGGATGATGGACCATACCAACGGTTTGTGGTTGCGTAATGAAGCATTTTATTTAGCCTGCACGTCTGCAGTGTCAGCCAGTTTTGCTATAGATTTTGAAATGAAATTTTTATGGGCAAACTCCAGTGACCCTGTTACATGTTTTAAAATATACATCAAAAATGCATCAAACATTGCACACCTCCACAACTTACTTAACTCCACGCTTCCAACCTTAAGTCATGAAGAACTTTCTTTACATGAGTCTAAATGGATCAATGTGATTTACATCGCTATTAATGTTTCTCTGAGGAGCAACTACGCTGTTAAATGATACTTATTGATCTTTCTAACAGGCTGAGCATACTACAACATAAGGAGGAGAGACATTCCATCCTCCTTTTATTTTTATTTACTTTCTTGTATTATTATTTATTTTGTTACCTTATTTATTTATGTTTATGTTATAGTGTAATTCTAAGTACTGGCTAATATTAGGCCTAATTAACAAAATGTTCTCCCACAGGGTTAGGGTGAGGGACAGGTTTAGGGATTTTGTACATCAACATGCATAATTTATAGTTGTTAATATAGTAAGTACATGTACACTGTAAATTAAATTGTTACATTTTTGATTTGTCAGACCTTAGTGTAATAACCAGTGACACTTTTTCGTTGGTCGATTTGAGTATTAGACTGTCTGCCTAATATTGATGCTGCTCCTTCAACAGACATTTACCTGACTATAAGAAACTTTACGAGAACATGTCAACTTACACTAACCCTAACCCTAAGCCCAACCTAATAGTCCACTTAAAATCTAATGAAAATTAGTTGGCATGTAGATGCAATGTAACATAAATTCAACAAACGGACCATCAAAATAAAGTGTGACCTAATGATCTAACATACGCACACTTAAAATGTTTTTTTTATTTTTTATTATTGTTAATAATTAAAATGATCGATTAGTAATCTTCAGGTATTTAACATTTGTCCCACTTTTCAGGGTTACTTTTCTTAAAATAATACAAATAACTTAGAAAAATATAATATTAAACATTATTAATGGTTATGCAACATTTTTTATATATCATATTCTAAATTATATTTTATTTATAAGATTTTATACAACAGTTCTGTTTGGTTCTTGAATCTGATTGGCTGATAGCCGTGCAATATTCTGCCAGTAACAGCACTCGTCCAGCCTCTTAACCCTTCACCCTTGTGTATTACTCTGCCCACATACAGCAACAAGCAGAGGACACTCTACAGCTTGACAAATATTGCAGCTGTTGGACAACATAATGTATTTTTGAGGCTTTTTTAGTGGAGAATGTAGTTGTTTAGATTGCAACTATGCAGTTTATTTATAAGGTGTTATGGCCAGCTCGCTCCCGACCGTAACATTAAAAGGATCAGATTTACAAAAATGTATATAATGAAATAAACATTTATTAAAAGGAATAACAAAGTATAACAAACTGTCTATGGATTTGAAATCAATAAGAAATCAACTGAAATCCTCTCAACAAAATACAACACTAAAACATAAACAAAAGAGCTGGAACAGAATGACCTCTCTGGGGAATAATGGTCCACCAGAGGAAGTGCCGGTCTTCACACAAAAATTCAAATATATACATTCTTCACCCATGAATTAACCAACTAACTGTGACGCCACACCGAAAGGTAAGAAAGGGGAAGGCAGGGTCGTAACAAAGGATATTGCATATATCTAGAGACAGCGCGTCGATTTGCCATTAGATTGTCAGTGAGCAAAGATGGTTGATGATGTTCATCCACAAGATGGCGGCAGAAACTAAATAATAAGCCCTAAGAGAAAAACAGGGTAATTTCAAACTACAGTTGATCAAATCATTATTAAACGGGTAAATGACTTTGAAGTCGATCTCTCTCTATTGTATGTTGTAGTGCTGTATTTATACCATAGTAATATTGTGATCTCCAGATTGCAACAGAGCAATACTGGGAGAAATTACTGTAGACTGATGACATTTCATGCCGTTCAGCCTAATCTTAAAATGTGAGCAAAATGACCTGTTTTGTCATCACTGTGACTTTTTAGACATTACGCTATAGAATCATTCAAGTACTAACTCTAAAGTGAAGTTAGTGAATGAGCAATGGTTTCTGATGTTAAGGAATGGTGGAGGAAAGTAGTTCCTCTTACAAAAGGATTTTTAGACTCTTGTGTTTGATTTTTGTTTTTATACACACGATTATGTTGTCGAACTGTTGTTTAAAAGCAATATCACACGAGTAGCAATGCGGTGTGGCTGTATATTGTCACTAGTGAGACACTAAGGCACGCTTTAATTTTTTGTTAACCTTTTTTCCAATGAGTTTGCAAAAATATAATTGATTTTACAACTAAACATTAAAATTAGACTATATTTATTTTTTATATTGAAATGATCACAAATGTTTTATTTTAGGCGACGAAGTGGCGCTTCTTGCTGTAGTGCTGTCATCTCACAGCAAGAAGGTCGCTGGTTCGAGCCTCGGCTGGTTCAGGTGGCGTTTCTGTGTGAAGTTTGCAAGTTCTCTCTGCGTACGCATGGGTTTCCTCCGGGTACTCTGGTTTCCTCTACAGTCCAAAGACTTGATACAGGTGAATTGGGTAGCCTAATTGTCTGTAGTGTATGAGTGTGTGTGAATGAGTGTGTGTGGATGTTTCCCAGAGATGGGTTGTGGCTGGAAGGGCATTCGCTGCGTTAAAACGTGCTGGATGAGTTGGGGTTTCATTCCGCTGTGGTGACCCCAGATTGATAAAGGGACTAAGCCGAAAAGAAAATGAATGAATGAATGTTTTATAATAATGTTTTCTGTAATTTTGTTTTGTTGTATTTTCATTGTATAATTTATGCATTTTATTAATCTGTATTTGTTAAATATTAAATTTAAATATATGTTTTTTATTATTTTATTTATGTATTATTATTATTATTATTTGTATGTTTGGTTTTGATTTCTTTAGTACATGGTAAAAGCTAATAAAATCAATAAAGACTTTTATATAAAGATATTTATATATTTATTCTTTTACAATGTAAATTTCTACATTACATGCTTTATTATCTTTATTTAGTCTTTGTGGCTATATGGATACATAATGTTTGATTGTTGTAATTCTGGAACTAAAATGTATGAATGTATATTTTTTAAGATTATCCACATTCTTTCACTGACCAAAGTAATAATATATACAGTTGAAGTTGAATTATTAGCCCCCCTTTGATTTTTTTTTCTTTTTCAAATATTTCCCAAATGATGTTTAACAGAGCAGGGAAATTTTCACAGTATGTCTGATAATATTTTTCCTTCAGGACAAAGTTTTTTTGTTTTATTTCGTCTAGAATAAAAGCAGTTTTTAATTTTTTAAAAACTATTTTAAGGACAAAATTATTAGCCCCCTAAAGCATTTTTTAATAGTCTACAAACCATCTTTATACAATAACTTGCCTGATTACCCTAACCTGCCTAGTTAACCAAATTACCCTATAAATGTCACTTTAAGCTGTATAGAAGTGTCTTGAAAAATATCTAGTCAAATATTATTTACTGTCATCATGGCAAAGATAAAATAATCCATTATTAGAGATGAGTTATTAAAACTATTATGTTTAGAAATGTGTTGAAAACATCTGCTCTCCGTTAAACGGAAATTGTGGAAAAAAAATAAACGGGGGGTGAATGATTTAGGGGAGCTAATAATTCAGACTTCAACTGTATATATCAAACTAGTGTGCAGATTCAATAACCAAAACAGCTCTTACACACGAGATCATAGCATTTATGGACACTTTTTCCATTATCTTACATAAGTTATAGTACACATTCAATTTTCAGATCTGTACACAAAGTACTAGGAACGATCTGGTATTGAACGAACGCAATGCTGATGATGTTCAATGCAGTTATTTGAATATGATAATCATTCGATGTCATGCTATACATATACAGCACATAGTAATAGCACTTTGCTTTAAGGAATAAAACACACATACAACAAATGAATCAACATGAACTAAGATTTTAGTAAACCAGCTCAATTGTAAACGTGCAATGCACAAAATCCCTACTATCTGTCTCTAGTATATCACTAGTAATTGAGCATCGAACAATGCACTACTATGCCAACGGATGCATATTGTTCGTGTGTGTGTGTGTGTGTGTGTGTGTGTGTGTGTGTGTGTGTGTGTGTGTGTGTGTGTGTGTGTGTGTGTGTGTGTGTGTGTGTGTGTGTGTGCGTGTTCAGACACTGCGCATAGATGCGAATGCAGGAGTCTGTGTCCACCTGCACTAATAATCTTCTCTGAACAGACAAACAATAACCTGAATTGACTAAAAATAGAAGCAATGCCGGTTTCAAATCGACGCTTTTTTAGACTTAAAATATGCCTCATGGACACACTGTTTTACCCGCACCATGCATGAAAGCTTGCAGTTGGCATTGCAGAAGATTCTGCATTACATTAAAATCAGTTCATACACTTCAACCGCAGAGTTCGAAGAAAGCTTGAAATAAATACCTGATCGTCTGCTCCTGTGGACGGATGGTGGTCCTCTTCTGCTCTTTATCTGTCCGCAATTCTCTTTCGATGCAATAGTTGCGGGATCTACCCTGACGTCAAGTAGCGACTGAAGGAGGCGTCTTTCATTTGACAATATAATGATACAATCCGGATACTATGATACTACTCCCGAGAGCCGTCCGCAGAGAGATAGAGGTTTAAATAAACTGTTACATTTCAGAAACAGACGAGGTTTAAACAGGTCTGCTAGACTTGCTACATTGTGACAAAAGGATAGAGTCAGAAAGAGATTTTGAAAATGTTTAAAACACGTGGTCTATTGTATAATTTTATTCTGTTTTGTTCCTAGTATGCTGTTGTTCCATTTAAATCAAATTTGAGTATTTTTTAAAACTGCAATATACTGATTTTCAGCTGACGAAAACTAATAATAATAAAAAAAATGTTTTGGCCTCAGCCTACAGTCTTCCTAAAGAGTTTTTGAAATAAGCAACAAAAATGACACTTAAGGCACAATTCAGACCAGTAGCCAGGACTTTTATTATTATTATTATTATTATTATTATTATTATTATTGTTGTTGTTGTTATTATTATTACTATTGTTATTATTATTATTATTGTTATTATTATAATTATTATTATTATTATTATTATTATTATGCGAAAAGTAAGAATATACAATCACAGTACATTGTATAGAAAAAGGAAAGATAAAAATAAAATATTTTGGAAAAAAAGAACAACATCAAAAAAAAAAAACAGAAGGGGTGTATATATATTATGTTAAACAAACATTCAAGAAAAATGATTATACAATTTACAAATTTCATTTGTTTTTAAAGCCTTGTTTGTTTCAAAGTATTTCTGCATTTCATCAAGCAAAACAATAAAAAGCCTATTCATGAGCTCATTTGTCTCATTTTGACTGCTAAGCCATCATAAATAGTAAAAATATTCCATCGAAAACCCATTAAATTAAAATTAATTTAAATTGTTATGCAGGAATTTTCAAATGCACCTTTTTACAAGAGAGACTAGAAAAAATGTGAAGCTCTACATTATGATTATTATTATTTTAAGTTTGCATTTATAGTTTGCCTAATAAATGACAGTAGGCTTGTTATTAATGATATATGATGTAATAAATTTGTGTTTTAAAAATAAGTATTTTTTTATATTTTATTTATTTATAAATTTAGAAAAAAAAATGTATATCAAAAAGTGTGGTTATGATGACCAAGCTAATCCATCTACAAACGTGCTTAAAATGTATTTAAATCTCATAATTAAATAGAAAATGAGTGTCCGCTTTTTGAAATAAAAGAATCACCCCCATTCACAAAGCTGGCACAAAGCACACCCCCCATTTGACCCAGCTTTGGCCCATACAAGCAGCTTTTGCTTGGCCCACATGCCGCAGTGAATTACCGTACATGACTGGACCAAGTCTGGCTTCCAGACAAGGCCAAACTAATGTAGCCCACAAATCAATGTTTAACGTCTGGGCTAAATACTATTTGACATCTGGCCCATGTACATTTACATTTACATTTAGACATTTAGCAGACGCTTTTATCCAAAGCGACTTACAAATAAGGACAAGGAAGCAATTTACACAACTATAAGAGCAACAATGAATAAGTGCTGTAGGCAAGTTTCAGGTATGTAAAGTGTAAGAAGCAAAACATTAGTAATTTATTAATTCATTAATTTGTTTGTAATACAGGTAGTGGTAGAACCAGAGAGGCAACTGCAGATTAGGAAGGTAGTTGGAGACTACATAGTTGAGTTTTTAGTCGTTTCTTGAAGACAGCGAGTGACTCTGCCGTTCCGATGCAGTTAGGGAGTTCATTCCACCAACTGGGCAGATTGAATGCGAAAAATCGAAAAAGTAACTTCTTCCCTCTTTGGGATGGAACCACGAGGCGACGTTCATTCATAATGTCATGTGTGCTGCCTTAAAGAAAGTGCCACCTCTGCCAAACCCGGGCCATGTTTGGCCCACATGCTCTATGGCAGTGCTGGATGAAGGCCTGCTATGCCAGCTTCGTGCCAAATCTGGCAATAGTATCTGGATGCAGCCTTTATGATGCAAGCTAAGATTGCATCACTTAGCAATGCAATGTCAGACACAACGCACTCAATGGAGGGAGTGACATCACTGTGATGGGTGTGGTTTGGGGTGGGGTTAGGTGAGCTCATTAAAAAGCATTGGATGCAGCTCAGATAGCACCGCAAAAGGCCTGCATTCCAGACCCCTCTCAAATCTGGGCAAGAATTCTTTGCTGTATAGCAGGAGTGTCCAAACTCGGTCCTGGAGGGCTGGTGTCCTGCACAGTTTAGTTCCAACTTCCTTCAACACATCTACCTGAAGGATTAGTATACCAAGAAAGAACTTGCCTTGTTCATGTGTGTGTTTAATGGAACCAAACTTTGCTGGACACTGGCCCTACAGGACCGGGTTTGGACACCTCTGCTATAGTATAGAATAGTATAGTAAAGTATAGTATAGTATAGTACACACTGTAAAACCCAACAGTCAACTTTATTAAATGAAATGAGTGTAATTAACTCAGAATTGACTGAAAGTTCATTCTACTCATTTGAAAAGAGTTTTAAACTCAGTGTTGAAGGTAATGAGTTAATTAAATACCTCAATACTTCAACTAAAATAGAGTAAGTTCACAGTACTCATATTAATTGTTTTTTTAACTCAAATGTTTTGTAGCAATCGGTTTCCTTAAACAGTCTGAGTTGCTTTAACTTATTGACTTTTACAGTACTAGTAGTTTGAGTTCTCTTCATTTATTGGGTTTTACTGTGCTCAAATTGCTTCATTTACTCAAATGGATTAAGTTCACAGTACTCATTAGGATTGTTGCATTCGGTTTCCTCAAATGGTATGAGTTACCTTAACCTTTTGGGTTTTACAATGTAGTTTAGTATAGTGCACTGTAGTGTAGTAGCCTAAAGTATATTTTGTGTGGTTTTAATTATTGTTATTTATTATATATCTGTTAGGTCCTAATATTAATTTTACCTTTAGCTCAATATCTTTGCTATTCAGTCTGTGATATTATGTCGTCCACTACCTCCGTGGATATTTTAAATTTGCAGTAATTCTGGAATCGGCACAACAAAAACACAACAGTCGCTTGTTTTTAGGGAGGAGAATTTTTCGGAAGTAAGGAGGAGCTTTTAAAGACAACTTCCGGTTTGTGACTGAGGAGGTGGGACTTTGCTAGCCATCGACGCTAACTGCTGGCTATCAGTTGCTGCTCTGTTGTTACAGAAGGATTATTCCTAACTGCGCCAATATCGTCGCGATAATACGGGTAAGTTCCGTTGTTTCTGAAACATTTTGTTCCCACATATGTGTATTTATCCAGACAATAATATTCTAAGAAACCGAAGAGCGTTTTCCAGTGAAGTGAGTGTGCACTAGAGCACGCCGCAAGAGCGCTCTTTTGTTTGACTGAAAAACGGAGCGTCGATTGGCTGCTGTCGTTTAGGGATTGTTTACCGGAAGATTAGCACGCTGCTAAGTATGCAATTCATAATAACAATGTAGATGCAGAAAGCATATGAAAGCTTCTGGTGGATATTCAAACGTTGAAGCTGGTGTGGAAGAATTCATGTACGGTTGATGAATTAATGTCTAAACTTTTCTTTGTCCTCAGTTTAGTGCTCAACTGTAATATATTTGACTGGTAACTTAGACATTCAGTAAGTACGGACAAATGTACATATGTTTATGTGCAAAGTTAACAAAAGCAAACATGTTGTTTTGGAATATAGTGAAATAATGTGTGATACAAATCTGTAATATTGATGTTCTACCGTAAAACTAATACTTCATGAGCAGTTTAATGATACAGCTGGTGCTTTCAGATTGACATTTACAGTATATATGAAGAAGTTTGTTTATTATACATATTTATACATGTTAAAGATTGATATTTGACAACATACAAATGGTCACTCACTTAATTCAGGTAAAGTTGGTTTTAGAGCTGCATGATTTAGAAAAATCTAACAATGCGATATATAGAGATATAAATACAATTTATGTTTTTACCATATGACTTAATATCTATATTTAGAAATAATTTATAGTGTTAAATTAATTGGGATGGTTCTGCAGTGGGAGTGCATCTCTAAAAAATCTGTAAACAATCTTTAGACTTTTTGGGCTGCTCTTTGCAGTGCATTTCTGTTTTTGCATGTATTGTGTTTATTTTCACACATAAAAATCTATAAATACAATCAAGAAAAATATACAATTTAAATAAAATGTTTTATCGTTTCCCAAGTCTAATAGAACTCAAGTACAATAACTTAATGATACAAATAATTCAATAAAATTAATCCATAGTTAAGGTCACAAATGGTAAAATTTTTATACCTGAATATTTTTAAAATCATTATACAATCGCAGACATCAAAAATGCTTGCAAATGATAAATTATAATACAAACTCAACATTGCATATCCTGCGATTTGACTATTATGAATGATTACATTGCGATATCGATGCTGAAACAATATATTGTGCAGGTCTAGTTAGTTTTATATTCACACATTGATTGAGGGACAACTTGAGACATGGTAAGTAAATTGTTTACCATGCTACTATTGAATATTCAAATAGCTTGCAAGTATGAGTTCAACACTGTATTACCACTATTCAATTGACTGTGAACAATGTTGTACATTGATAGTCTTTGGCTGCTACTACAATCTTTCTATTTAGAGTTAGCAAATAATACTTTTTCTGAAAATGTCATAATAAGGAAAAAGTCTGATTGTGTAAGCATAAAACAAACTTTACCCCAGTAAATTACTTTAGATACAGTTATGGAAAATGAATATGTTAATATTAAGGGTATGAGTTTAGTATAGGGTTTAGTAGGTAGGAGTTAAAATAAATGTTGATATTTCTTTTAATCTACGAAGATCTGATAATGTTTCTTTCACATGTAAAATAAAAACATTGGCATTTAGGCCAAATTGTCCAAAATGACCCTTGGACAGAAATACAAATGCTTTTATTTGTTGTGAATTGAAATTCAGGGTTATTCCAGCAAATATTGATAACTTAGCTCTTCTGATAGTTAAACATTGGCATTTTGTTGTCTATTAATGTCTATTATATATTACACACACACACACACACACACACACACACACACACACACACACACACACACATATACATATATATATATATATATATATATATATATATATATATATATATATATATATATATATATATA